TTAGGTACGATTTCTCCGTAAGTGTGACGTCAACACCCCCCACTCCCTAACTTTAATGCGGAATAACTACGTATTCTTCTGTTAATTTGATAAAACAAAAAATACGTGTCTGATATTTTCGTGCGATCTTAATGACGGACTAATTACTTTTTTGATTTTTTTACCCTGTCGACACGCCTATTCTGACAGTTGACTTCGAGTACCTACTCACCCAAAAGCAAAGAAAAACATTGTTCGGGATTTTTTTGAAAATTGTAGGTAACTGGAGTAAAAGACAAATTAATCTTTCTCCCGATCCAGATACAGAAATCCTTGTTTGGTCGTCGCCTAGTCCCTTTTGCGACCAGTCAACATGCATACTAAGACATGTCTGCACCAGAGTCAGTTAACCCTTTGAGTACCGTCATTTCAGACAAAATTAAAGAACAATAGGTTGCGGTTACCGCTGTCCTCGCGGTTTTTGACAGTTTAAGCCTTTGACTGCCATCAGAAAACTGTTAAAGGCAAATCCTCCGCTAACTCCGGTCACCGCTTACCTACGTGGCAGTTAAGGTGTTAAAAAGGTCCTTATCATCTTTGATTTATAAAAAGGACAAAAAACTCCCTTTGTATATTCGAAGTAAATATTTTTCTCAGTACCTTTACAAGTTCTGTCCTATCTACAGGTCAGAACAGGTTTACTATCGGGCTATTTGTTCAGGCTAATTTCGAGAATAGATAAGCTATGGTAATAGGTCGTTTACCCTCATTCATTGACATGTTCAATGTAAGTCGGTATTTCTTTCGAGTTAGAATGTAGTGTACATAGTATGTTTTTTGTATCCATTAGATTGTATTGTATTGTGGTATCATCGTCACCATCATCATCACCATTGTATCATTTTTTTTTAATAATAATAAATTTATTGCTCAAAAAAGAAAATACATGATTTGTTACATATCAAGTGAACGAGTTCCTTTTACATTTAATTTGATGATTAATGTCAATCATCATAAAAAATCTCCTCCAATATAAAAAATATTGATCTTAATAAAATTATAAATTCGAAATACTGTTTACGTAAATTATTTAAGTTATTTGTTTTTTTATTATTATCTTTTCGGCTTTAGCAGTATTTCGCGACCCGCGGTGCGGCGACTGTCGCGATGTAAAAATGCTCCTCATGAATATGAGCCTCTAGCATGGCTCGAAACTAGTCGAGTTCCTCGTCAACTAATTACGTGAGTAAGCCGAAAACTTAATAATTTATTTTTCTAAATTGCTTAAACGATTTTGGTGGGACTGTACCAGAGACAGGTGGAATACAACTGGAACTTGGAACAGGAAAGATGAGACGGGATACCTACTAATGGAACGTGATACCAAAATAATAGATAAAGTTAATTTTGTTACCGAGACTTTTTACACATTTCGCTAATAATACTGGATACGTTGTTACCGCATTGAATACCAGTGACAGACCTCCAGCGTGTCTTTGCATTGCTCTCACATATACGTACAGTATTGGAATATGTATCAGACACATTGTAGAACATACTTTTTTAAAAAGAATAACAAATGGAGTTTCTTGCTCGTTCTTCTCCATTCGAATCTACATTTTGGAATGACCACCTAGCTTCACCTAGCTTCACTGACGGACTGACTGACAGACTATTATTTATTTTGTATTTGTTGACGTTTCAAAAGTACCAAATTATGGTTTAATTAAAATAAATGCTGCTTTGACTTTGACATTGAGTAAGCCAGATCAAAATAAAATAACCTGCATTTCGCAATAACTTAATAAACACTTGCAAATACTGCATAATTTACATGCAAAGATTTCAACATCATATAACTACGAGTAATAATAATTAAATTATGTGTAAGTGATAATAAATCGCAGTGAGATGCTACTCGCATGCTTGTTGGATGGCACAAATATGTACGGACATACAATTACTTGCGTACATTAAGAGTATACACACATGATGCGTTAAAAATGTACGACTACATGAAGTATAAACGTTTTGTCTTGGATATCCCATAACACGTGTGATTCTTGAACGATTAAATGTCAAAATCTAACAAAAAACAATGCTAGCTGGCAATGTTTGCAATGACTATCAAAATTGTTTCCCGTGCCTTCAAATTCGATGTGAAATATGACTGTTTTTCCGTCACAATGAAAGAGTACATCTTTTACAATATGGTTTATTTTCTTAACTAATTTAGAAGGATCTATCACTTATTTCCAACCTAAACGCATTTTCTGAATAAAAATAATTTTATATATCAATTTTTGACAATATCACTACATATTATAAGACAAAGTCGCAATTTACCGCTGTCTCTCCCTATGTATGCTTAGATCTTTAAAACTATGCAACGGATTCTATTGCGTTTTTTTAAATATATAGTGATTCTTTAGGAAGGTTTATATGTATAATACTTGCATATTACACCCATATTTGTATTGTAACTTTCGACTTACTCACGTAATAATTTGACGAGGAATTCGACAAGTTTCAAGCCGTGTCGCGCTGCTACTGCGTAGCAGCCGTCGCAACAGTCGCCGCATCGCGGGTCGCGAAATGTTGCTCATGAATATGAGCCTCTAGCATGGCTTGAAACTAATCGAGTTCCTCGTCAAATTATTATTACGTCAGTAAGTCGAAAACATAATAATTCATTTTACACCCGTGTGAATCCGGGGCGGGTCGCTAGTTTTTAATAAAACGTTCAAATTCGTAATAGCTACAATTACTAGTCGCATTATTAAAACGTCTCTTATGAGCCATTTCTTATAATACACTTCGTAAGTAGAGAACATGGTTTAATTTTTTCTTAAACGTGATGTCATTTTGCTCGGCAAGTAAGAATGTAAACAACTATGAATCAGACTTGGGCACGGTAATAGTACTACATAATTAAATAGGTACCTATGTAAGGATACAATGTGTATCATATAGTATAATCATCTTACTTAAAACATACTTTTTCTGTATTTAGTTAACTTTCAACGAAGTTTGAAACATCCTTTGAGTTTAATTTCTTTTTTAACCTACTAGTAACTCCTTGATTAAGTGTCGAATTAAAAACCTTTCCTATTAAAAGTCGGTTGAAAAATATTTAATATACGGACTACTAATAGATACTCTTTACACAAAATGTAATTAATATTAAGCTAGTGACACCCCTAAAATTTGCAACGCCTGAAAAAGGCCGTTAAGCTGCGTCTGTTATTTCATAAGACCTGTAATGACCTGTATGTATTACCTTAACATGCAAATAAAGACTTTGAGTTTGAGTTTGAGTAACATGTCATCAACAAATAGTTGCGTGCAAAAAGAACAAAATAAATTAAAGTTCAGTGACACAAATGAGGAAAAGTAGACAGAAGAATAAAAAAACCACTTACCTTAGCTATTTTCCTTTTTATCGTAGATTCCAGGTCCTGCAGAGGAGAATAGAGAAGAATGTTAATAGTTAGACAAGCAAAGAAAATCAAAGAAAACATGTTAAGAAATTACTTTGTTATAAAGAGTATTGTTAAACTGCGATCCATCCAAATTAAGAATTTATTAGGATATGAATAAGACTGTAAATCCGATAACCAATGTTAGAAAAACAGCTTAGCGTCTATTATAACATTTACGAGGATGTTGCTTGACTAGTTTCAAGTCACGACTGGGGCTCATAATTATAAGCAACCTCTTCGAACGATGGCGCGAGTAAGCCGTGTGTTTCACGAAGGTTAAATTAAAAAATATATATATATACTAAGCATTTACCAAAGCATTGGTTATCGGACCAGTCTCATCATAATAAATATCAAAATCATTACATTTTGACGTAGTAACATTGTTCTACGCTACGTAAATGAAAGTTCGTAGACGGGACGTTTCGTAGCGATTGTCTACGGGGTGCTACGGCGTAGTTCACGTCAAATTATAACAAGTTTAGTGATATTTTCTAGTATAAAGTTTTATTAGAAAAGTTATAGTCGCATGCAAGTAGTTCTAGGAAGGAAATATAGAACCTCTGGGAGGTAATAATACGAAAGGAATGTTTGTTTATATATTTATTAGGAAATAAAACTTACAATATTGTAGATGGTAGTTCACTACTTACCTAGACACAGAAGATGTAGATAATTCGACAGATTGAAGACTAAAGCTAAATTCCTATCTTGTACATATGCATAAAGAACTTTATTATTAAACAAAATTAATGCCATATGGCTTTAATGTCCCTGTTATGTATCATTACTTGTTTCTGTGTACATTAAAGTAAATAAATAAAGTATAAAAAGAAAACGATCTTACTAATGACTTAAAAATAAATCGTATTAAAAAAAGAACTGGGTGACCAAATAAAAAACATATCGTATTAGGACTAATACTATAGAAAAGAGAGTTGTTGAAAATGTTGGCATATACCCCACACGACATAAGGTAGACACGTAAATCTAACTGTTAATCGCACCTGAAACCATAATATGTGAGATCCTGGTACGTCAAATTGTATGTTAGTCAACAACCATGACACAGGAGAAAATCCGAGTGTGAGCCAACGCTTTTTAAAAAAAGAAGAAAAAATATCCCTGTTCCGAACAGCAACACACTGACCTACCACAACACCATTCAATTTATCGCCACACTTCAATTTACTCATCGCTTAAAACGCAATAAATGCAATATTTCATTTAAACAAAAATCACTTTAATAAAACTGCCCGTACGTCATAAAGTCCAATCGATTCCGTGTACAATTCGGTCATACAATTAATTAATCGCTTTCTTTTAACAATAAATATAGTACATTTCGTTAATAAAATAACTCCAATCATTATATTGGCTGTTTTATTGAATTTAGTCACGAAAATATCGAATGTACTCGTGTAAGTAGTTCGCGTATGAATTTAATTTTAATTTTGAATGAGATTTATTGAACAATATTAAGGAGAGTGCCTGGTAAGGTATTAAGGTAGATTCGATGGAAGAAATTAAGGTTTTAAACGTTTTATTTAAATAAGCTAATACCACAATGTCAACCTACACGCAAGAGGTTTCGGTGAGCGTATTGTTAAATCATCTGGAAAACTGTATCTCGAGTCTCGTCTGCGTTTAATAACACCCCGAATTATGCTCAATGCTCATGTGTAGACGAAACATCAATTCAAATGTTTCCATAAACGTATCTAGTTATGCAAAGTTCTTCAATACTAAGTTAATAAACTCAAAAAAAAAACAATAATGCTAGCTCACCATCAAAGTAGCATTCTATTGACTAGCAAAAGAAGAAGAAAAAAAATAAGTTGCAAACTTTTTTGTAAAATTAAATCGTCTAGTTTAATAAGACCCCAGACAGACACTATTTAGTTATAAGAAAATATTCTGTATTTTAAGCAGACCAACACCAAGACCACCCATTTCACCAAAACCCAAGTCACAGTATAGTGCAAACATACTAAATCACGGTGGCACACGTCGCCACCGCGACCCAGATTACGATGTAATTGCGGAGCCTTGATCTGTGCAAGCGCAGGCGCCGCCATTACTGGCGCATTTTAAATACCCGCCATTTTATCCTAATTGGAGGGAAATAGGCCGAGGGACATGAGAAAATAGTGTGTGTGATACTCTTGAGTGAGATTACGTGTGTCTAGTAAATTGTTTGAATTGTGTGTGAATTTGCTCGAAGTATTTCAAGTTGGCGTCAAAGGTTCTAGTTGAATATGTAACATAAATCTGTAGACAATATGGTATTTGATAACTAGTCAAATACCTATATACTACTACTACCTATATACTGTTTTCGAACTGTATGAAACGACAGTTCTCTATGAATTTTGTACGAGATTGTGAATTGTGACGTCACAGGTTTTTTAGCGTCAAACACCGTACTTAGTTCTTAAAAATTTGCTGGAAAAATACTAAAATTAAGTTGGTCATAAAATCAATTAATTAAAGTGTAATTTTTAATATTTTATATTGTATAGACATAAACATTTATTTTTGATTAAGTACCCAATTTACAGACCACTATTACGCATCTACTACATACGACTGTATAGACAACAAAGTTGTCAACGAAGTTACCATTACGTACAAAGATATTTTTTTTTATTTACTTCATTTGGCGAGGTGAATATGTATGCCAAAGAAATCACGATTGTTTCTAATTACATATATTTCAAATTTAAACGAAATAAAAGAACGCTGTATATTAAATACGAAATATTCAAACTCCTCGTTGTGGTCAAGAGAGGCGACAGAAGTGTGTGGGTGAAAAAGAGGCGAATCGTGAGCCGTGCCTCGAAACTGTGTCACGAGACCACAGCATGCAACACTGAACCAAGATATAAATAAACTAGCCAACTTATTAAATGGTTCGGATGTTTTATTAGTCAACTGGTTAGAAATGCGATTACTGACCAAATTACCAAGTGGTCTTGAGATTTATACTTGGGTCGTACAAAGTATTAAGCCGTTTAATAATGGTATAGTACAATATATTTATCCCACTTCTGTTCTTGCCGCGGGTGTCGAAAGAGCCGATTTAAGAACTTCCTATATTAATTATTATGTTTTCAGCTTACTCACGTAAATGGTAAAGCCCAATGCTAATGCCATGCTAAAGCAGCCAGTGGCAGCGCGACAGTCGTTACGTCGCGGGTCGCGGAAAGCTGCTCATAAATATGAGCCTCTAGCATGGCTTGAAACTAGTCGAGTTCCTCGTCAAACAGTTACGTGAATAAGTCGAAAACATAATAATTAATTAGTATGTCTCAAAAATGTTTTAATATAAACTTCCTAGCCTACGCACTTTCTAATAAACCTATCAAGCGTAAAAATTATCCAGCACAGGATGGTCACAGTGATGATGATAATGATAATGTAAAAAAATATTCGGTTCTTATATCCAAACGATGAAATTTAACATGAATTGTTAAGTAGCACCTGTTTGTAATTCTTATTAACCGATTTTATATAATAGAATAGGAGGTAAACGAGCAGACGGATCAGCTGATGGTAAGCGATCAGCTCCGCCGCCTATTCTAGGAAGAGTATTGTTTTTTTAACTAATGCAACAAGCTTACAGATTATGCATCTCTGGTATATTACAATTTCAATGTAATTATATTAAAATATTAATTATTCAAACATGCTATCTGCATAATTGTTATAGATAATATTATGATTTATTTGTGTTTAATGTACGGCCTTATTGTTTTGCATTTAAATGAGTAGTCATTAATTTATTATTTATTTATGATGAAAGCATCGGGAACTAGCAAGAGCATCTTATATGTGTGAGCCTTAAATACATGAAGTTAACAACAATAAGTATTTGGATAAAAATACATAACATAACATAACATCACGCCTTTTTATCCCCAAAGGGGTAGGCAGAGGTGCACATTACAGCACTTAATGCCACTGTACAATGTAACACCCACTTTTCACTTTTTATGTTATGAGTCCCATGTAATAGGGGGTGAGCCTTTTGCCATATACCGGGCACAATTCTAAACTCCGTGGTACTACTGAGATCTTTTTAAAAACCCAGTAATTCTTTGCCCAACCCGAGAATCGAACCTGAGACCCCATGCCTGGCAGTCGCACTTGCGATCACTCAGCCAACGAGGCAGTAAAAATACAACTGCTCTTTTATTGTATAAAATATTAGGCCAAGTAGCTCTCCCATTTTTCATCCATTACATACTAGTCTATCTATAGTAAATTTGCTGTAAAACCGCTTTCCATTTCCAGCTTCCTGAAAACGTCCAATTAGTAAAATGCCCTATCTTTTAAAGCACGTATTCATAGCAACCTTGTTTTAATCATATAATAAACACAAACAACACAACATTTTGAACTATTACTCGCACACACATGCTAACCGACCTGTATCAGCGCTTAAAGTTGTATACCGACCTGGAAATATACAAAAAACATTTTTAAACATACATATATACATAACATCACGCCTTTTATCCCCGAAGGGGTCGGCAGAGGTGCACATTACGCCACTGTACAATGTAACACCCACTTTTCACTATTTATGTTATGAATCCCATGTAATATGGGGTGAGCCTATTACCATATACCGGGGACAATTCCAGACTCCGTACTACTACTGAGAATTTTTAAAACACCCAGTAATACTTTGCCCGACCCGGGAATCAAACCCGAGACCCCTTGCCCGGCAGTCGCACTTGCGACCTCTCGGCCAACGAGGCAGTCAATGTAACATAAGTAGGTTATATATAAATTATATGTAATTTTTCCCTCAATGAGCGAATTGACTTTATTGTTAACTATTTATCGACAAAAAAGAACTATCCAATTTAATCGACTATTTTAGGAGTTATAAGCATAAAATACGTTTATTTTTTTTTTGTATTTATGTTAATTATTTATTTAGTAAAGTATGTACCATGAAAATACCA